CCAAGGAGAATAGCAACTCATGCCGTCTGTTAAGCCTCTACTTCCCGCATGATATACAGGAGTTGGGAAAAAGCCTGAGATAGGAAGCAGGCATGCCTTTTTAAGAAAGCTGAGAGTTTTGGAGCCCGGCTTGCTACACACTGCTGCATTTTTGCAGTACTGCAGGCTTTGGGCCAAACAGTTCTGGCTGATTTTTAGAAAGAAATTGCCTGCAAAGTCTGTTTGCCTGAATCCAAAGTAGTACCCTATCTACAGCATGAACACTGATTTCAAAATGCCTTCATCCTTCTGAAGTAACTGTTTTTTGTCTCTAGCCTCCAAATTTTCAATTCAGTCTTTTAGCTGTGATTACTGTTTGAACTCTGCAGATGAGCTGAAATGAAAAGAAAATGAGTGAGAGAAACATGACTATTTTTCATCTGAGAGGTGCCTAAAGAAGAACATTCTGTGTAAGAGATAAAGGTCAGCTTTATCTTAAAAGCCTAGCAGCTATCAGGTCTGTATGTAACACTAATTCTGCTCCTGTATCTTCTTGCTCTGCTGCTTTTCTCCTTTACTTTGGGGGAGAAAAAAAGCAAAGGTCTTATGAAAAAAATGTTAAAATACTTTAAAGGTCAGCTGCAGAACTTCTTGAAAAATAAGGGAACCCATAAAGAGGAATCTGGAGAAATGGTTTGTCTATCACAGAGTCAGATAGAGATTTGAAGAAAAGTTTGAGACTGGCAAAGCTGTGTTGCCTCCTTCCAAGATCTGATGATCCATCTTTAGACCTCTAGATCTCTGGCAGGCAAGTTTATGATAAATACAACAGGTGCACTGATTCAGAAGATTTTAAAGATTAATATACACCTGAGACCAGAGGTTTTTCTTTTGGGATTGATGGACAAACAGTTGGGAAAAGTCATGAAACTCTGTTTTTGTACATGGTAACTGCAGCAAGATTATTGTATGCACAAAGCTGGAAAGATTCTGCAATACCTACAATGGAGGAATGGTTGGTGAAGATGATGGAACTTGCTGAGATGGCTAAATTGACTTCTTTGATCAGAGAACAGACAATATCTACATTTACTGCTGACTGGAAACCCCTTATGGATTTTTGAGTGAAACAAAAAAATGAACTTATGATTTAGGGTTTTGATGATTAGACAGGATAGATTATAGAAAGAAGAGAGTTATGTTGTAACCATAGAGTAAGAGGTAAATTTATAATTGTAGGTTTTGATGATTAGACAGGATAGATTATAGAAAGAAGAGAGTTATGTTGTAACCATAGAGTAAGAGGTAAATTTATAATTGTACTTATAACTGTTGTAAAGAAGATCGGAAGCTACTTTTTTGTATCTTTTTTCTTTCTTTCCTATTTTTCTTTTACTTTTTTTCCCTTTCTTGCACTTTTAGCTTTCTCTGATTTCTATTTTTCTTACTTTATATTAGTTTGTATTAGATTTTATCTTCCTTTTAAAAATCTTTAATAAATATATACATATAAAAGATAAACACAACAACTGAGAACCAAGAGAAACTAGGAGGACATAGTTAGTTTGTTTGAAATCTGGATTCAGTATAGACCTGGGAATAACTGCCAAAGTAATTCTGAGTATTTTATTTTAGAATTGGTGCCACTCTGGAAATGAAAGCTTAGCAAGAGGTTAGCATCAGAATGCCTACTCAGCTCCCAAGCCTTCCCAAATAAGACAAAAAAAGAGAATATAGTGAGAGATCTCAGTGAATTCTAATGATACATCTGAGATCTTGTGGGAGATTTTGTCAACATCTTGTGCTATATTTCACATCTTTGGCAGGGACTGGCGCAGACCTCTGGCGTAAAACGTTCTGCATGCTCAATTTATCTACAAAGGATCTCACTAACTATGGATAGAAGTTCTGACTGGTTAGAAGTTATAGTCCTTAGAGGAAGAACCTGAATTATGCTGTCAGCTTATGATTTGGCTAATGACTATCTCATTGGATTTTTTTTTAGGAGGTTTTCTAAAACAACCAGCAAAAATTGCAGTGTGGGCTATGATTTTTGCTAGGATATCTGTAATTGTAAAATATGATTGCATGTTATGAGAATTTCCTTATATTGGCTTCAGGCTGTTGTACTCCCTGGGGGACAGAAATGCTTCTGAGTACAGTTTGTTACAAACTGCATTTTCTATTTCAACTGATTTGTACAATCCATGATTAGTTTGAAGTTCTATCGACTAATTACACTGAACTAAGCCACATTCTCTTTTGTTTAGATAAAATGGACTTGACAAACTCAAGTTTCAGATTTTCTCACCTTGTGACTTATTTAGGCTTATCCTCCTAACAATATACCAGGAGTGGGTAATGATGTGGTAGGTAGGTGATTGGGCTGCATTCCAGTGGGCAGAGCCAGGATTAGACCTAAAACCCTGTATGTAAAACATATAATCTTGTGCACTCAGATCCCACATTCACAGGTAAACACATTTGTACATCCATTCTCACAGTGACATAAGCCTACCCACACCCTTGTTTCCTCTCCCTTGATTTCTCTCCTCTCTTTCTCCTATAGGCATTCAAACATATACACATGCATATTGATTAGGGAGGGTATCCCAGTGGGGAAGACTTTAACCTCACACACACACCCTCCAGCAATCCCATGCAAAGTACTGTAGCTACTTTGCAGTGGGAGTGGGAGTAGCTATTTTGGTTGTACTGGAATCACTGGGACAGCACTGTAATTAGCAACAGGGGAACAACCGTGGCTCCCTGTGTCCAGCTGATCTGGGCAGTGGGAAAAGGGGGCTGAACTCCCAGGGGTCAGAGCTCAAGTAAATGAAGCAGTACCTGATATGCCTTTATAAGGCAAAATAGTAAATAACCTTATGTTAGCCTCAGCTAGAAATAAAGGAATAATTAAAACAAGCCAGACAGCTGTCTCTTCTTCAAGAACTGCAAGAAACCCAAAGCCAATGGTGGACTTGACTCTAAACTTGGAATGCAACTTAACCAAGTATTTTCTCCACCTCAGAATGACTGTTTTTTACCTGTTCTAGGTGTCTCATTTGTATAGAGCCAAAAATTCTACAAGAATCCTCTTTGATGAAGCCTATAAAACATTATTCCAATCAGAATTTCAAAGCAGTTAAAATATTAAAAGGTAGCTAACAGAGCTCTATACATGTTTATTTAAAGCTCCATTTGAATTTAGTAAGGATTACTCCTAGGCAAGTAGGTATAAAATCAGTGCTTAAAGCAGCAATCTTATACATTCTTAATTTGGTGTAAGATTCATTTGCATTCCTGGAGGTTCCTGTTAAACCAACATGTAAGAACACACAACCCCTCAAAAATGATGTCAGAAAGATAACTGATATGTTATTAACATGATCTCTCCAATGTTTGCCACTACCAATCAGTGAAAAAATTAATGGACTTTACATGGCACATTAATCGTTCTAAGATTAGGGAATAGCTGTCATTCTTGAATTACTTAATTCATCCATCAAAGGAGAATACAATCCTTTTAGCCACTAAGTGTGTTTCTTGTTTTGTTTTTACTTCTTTACCTACACTAATTTCTTCTTGAAATATGAGTATGTCACTGGTATCCATGATGACTGGAATTATGTCATATAATACTAAATGCTAAAAAGTCAAACTATATTTCCCCCTAAGGCCAACTGCCATTGGCCATCAACTGTTTCTTTGATCCTAGAAAATGTATCTAGATAGGAAATATTGAGATAAGATTAAACCACAAATGAGGGTGGACATAGCAAAGAGCCCTTGGATTCCTTAGCTTCTACACACTAACATAGCCTTCTCTAATGTACTATAGTGCTTTTCAAATGGCTGAAGAAAATGAGCATTACTTTCCAACACATTACAGTAGTATCAGGAATGAGAAAGTCTGCTTTAGTTTCAACCTCTGCTCCCCCATCCCTGCCCATGTCTTTCCAGCTGTGCTTTCCTGGTAACAGCTATTAAAGGAATAACCTCTTCCTGTGTCAGTGGTATTGGCTGATGGAAATCAACTTGTCTTCTCCACAGCAAGTCTACTTTTCCCTCATTCCTCCCTTCCCTCTTGTCCATCCTCCTCCTCATGATGGAGCTGTTTAAATATAGCGGTCTTTGGGAAAAATAGAATATTCCCTGAACTCAAAGACCAAGAGAGGAACTGAACTGATTCTTCCTGGTTTCAATTTCCTCACTCTCATTTTGTGCTTTGACCAAAACAGGAGCTACTCAAAGAGATACCCTTTCCCACATCCTGAGAGAGAGAGAGAGGGAGAGAGAGAGAGAGAGAAGCTTAATCTTATGAATCTATTTTAAAACACTCCCCAAACTGATCCAGGCTGTTTTAACTATTTTCTGACTGAGGTTGAGAGACCTGCTTCTTATTTCCTCTTATCACATGGGAAAGAAAAACTTCCAGTAGAGGAGTAAAGGGGAGAAGCAAGTCAAATGACTGTCAATTTTCAAGAGTTTCCAGCAGCTTTGCTGGATGCCTCCCTTGTGTTCACAACCAACAGCCGTGGCCTTTCTTCTCTCTCTCTCTCTGCTCTTCAGGCTGCTTTATGAGAGTGTTGTGAGTTCTCAGGAACAAAGCATCTGGCTGCAGGCACCACATTCTCCCAGCTGGAAGTTTAGGAGTAAGCTTCCTTTTCTATTCACTGCCTTGACAAGGAACAACTGAGATATATTTGAATTGTTCACATAGCAAGCCTTATCTCATGTCAAAATTAGACACTGTCTCTGTCTAGTAACGTCCAGTCTCTTTTCCATTTGTAAATCCCCCATTTTCCTAGTACTTCTTTCATCTTTGACCTTATCAAGGAAAAGCCATTAAGGAGACAGAGACGGGATAACTGTACAATGATTTCTAACATTGCATTCAAGGAAGCAGCTGATATCCTTTTACTTGAAATGTTCTCATTTCAAAACGGCTTATCCACCCAGCCATATTCTTCTTCAGTGCCACCCCATAATAGCTCACTGTTCAGAACATGAAAGCTTACCATTTATTTTGTTCCCTTGTAGATAAAGATTTTCAAGGCTTGTACTGACTCGTGGGATCTTCTGAAGCCGGTTATAAGAGAGGTCCAGTTCCAGGAGGCTGCTAGTATTGAAAGCATTTGGGGAGAGACCTTCGTTTGTCAGGATGTTATGAGACATCCGTACATAGAGCAATTTAGGGGAGACCTTGAAGTAATCTTCAGGGACTATATTTATGTGATTATGCTCCAAATACAGTTGCTCTAAGGAGCTTGGAAGCCCATCCGGGACTCTTCTGAGTTGGTTGTAGCTCAGATCTGCAAGGATCAGAGAGTTTAACCCTTTGAGGTTTGATCCTATTTCTTGGATCTGGTTGTGGCTGAGATACAAGGCAGTGAGGTTCTCTAAGCCTTCAAGGGCATTGGATGGGATTTTGGAGATCTGATTGTAAGCCAGATGAAGCTCTCGCAGTGACTGGGGCAAAGGGTAAGGCATTTTGGTCAGGTTGTTATGGTCAAGGTACAGCCTTTCTAGGTTCTTGAGTTTGGCAAAGACCCTCTTGCCCATTTTCTCACTGGTTATTTGATTGCCATGCAGTGCCAACCACTCCAGGCTGGTTGCATTGTCAAAGGCTCCCTCTTGGATCGCCACAATTTGGTTGTTCTGAAAGTAGGCGTATTTCATCCGAGCAGGCACAAATGGAAGATACTTAAGATTGCGAGCATCACAATACAAGGCAGAAGAGAAATGAGGGGGGCATTCACATTCTTGGGGGCACTCCCTAGAAACAGGAGGTTCAGGGACAGGCTCTCCAACAGAGGATCCAGCTGGCACAAAAGAGTAAGAAGAATATGGGGGAATCTCATCTTCATAATATGGTGAATAGCTGTAGGATGAAGACTGGCTGCGTAAATATTGCTGTAACCAGAACATGTCCTCATAGTGATCATCATACTGGCTCAAGGATATTCCACAGAAGCCAGCTACGATCAAAACAGAAGCCCAGTGCATTGTGCCACAAACTTTGGACCGACCTGTAAAGGGTGCAATAAGAAAAAGAGAGAAAAAACAACCATCAGAAATGTTAACTCAGGAAAACAAAGCAGCAGTTGCTAATGTGTATAAAAGTGGCTGAGATCATGCATGAATTAAACTTACATACTTTCCATAGATATTAGTATGAGTCATGTTTATGGAATCAATAAAATGTATTATTAGATTTTTAATGTCAGGCATAGGGGCTTTATTCATTTTACAAGGCTTATAAGCTGTTCCAATCAAAGTCAACTTTGAGCAGTACACAATTCCCATCTTTGTCAATTCAGATTAAAATTGAACAATCAACACAATTTAAACAGTAACAATCCAATCAATCCATGGGAAATAGGTAAAAAATTGGGAATACCATAATCAATTTGTATGTTAAGACTACATTTTAAAATATGATCCTTCCCAGAAGAGTAGACTGAAATTTTTTTCTTAGTATCTTGGTTTTATACAAACACACAGACTCTCTCTCTCTCACACACATATATATACATTGGATATGATAGAAATAGAGTTGTGTGTTGTGGTTTAGCCAATTCTTAGAGAAAAAAACTTTTGAATTTTCCTGCATATTGCCTAACTTCTTTACTGCCTTTTTTCCCATGTAAATATATGTGATTTTTATCTGCATAGAATGCAGTAAACCATCAGAACAGCCTGTTGAGATACTGACCTCACCAGCCTTCTGTAATAGGGAGTAGGCTATCCTGAATAGAACCACTGAATAAAACTCTGTGGATGTGGTAAGCGCAGAGAACTAAGCTTTATCACTCATTTCTTCACAGCAGAGGAGGTTATTCCTGAAAGAAGTGGGACTTTCCCTTTCTTTTACCACTGTTGCATTGCATATCACTCATATAATTTCTTGGAGTTCCTTGGAAATCAAGGTGCTCCTTGGATCTGCAACTGATGGAAAACCCCTCAGGAGAAATTATATCCAACACCCTGGCCACCTTCTTGTTCCATCTGGCAACCAGATGCAAGGTGGAACTGTATCGGAAACAATCTGGATCCATCAGGCATATGAGGTAGACCATCTTAATTGGTCTACCAACTCTACAGAAGTCAGGGACAGCAATGAAGAGCAATTTGACCATCAGACCACAGATTGATGGCTATGTCCTCCATTTTCAGATCACACGTCATTTGCTAAGAGATGAGCATTAGATCTTATAACAATAAATGCCAAATGTATGGCCCTATTGGGGATATTACAATATAGGATGCCATAAACAATAAGGACTGAACTCCAGTTAATACTGGTAGGAATACCAGTAGAACAGGGATGCATAACATGAGGTTCCTGGGATGCACATGACCCTCAAAAGGCTTGGATACAATCCCTAGAACCCTTGCAAACACTGTAATTTTTACTGTAACAAAAAGAAAAAAATGTTAAGCAGACAACTTGTAATGATATGAACTGTGTTTAAATTGAAATGAAATTCGATTTAAAAAATTAATCCAGGTTTCGTCGTCCTCCTATTTTTTGGATTGAGTGACTACCTCACTCAGAGAGCAGGTAGTCTTCATCCTGAAAAATATTGCACATTTGCAACGGCTTTTACCAGAAATATTTTCAAGATGCCTGGAAATCTCACTAGGTGAGCATTCTAAAGAACACAACTGGTTCCATGTTACTTATGTTACCAATTATACCAGCATTCTTCAAAGGAATGCTGTTCATTTCTACTGGACTGCAACTCCAGTCACCCCTGCTGATATGACTTATGTGAGTTGACAACCAACACATACTGTATGTAGGGCACCATCTTGGGAAACTTGATTAATAAATCTTTGACATGCCAGTTGAGATTAAATCAGTCAGTTAGCAACTAATGGATATATATCGACAAAAAGACATCTTAAAATAGCAAGCATATTTGAAAAGATCAGAGTAAATGATGAGTAAAAAATAGCATTAAAGGAATGAAGTGAAGAAACATAGACTTCCATCCTGTCCCTAATTCTGGTCACTAGAACAAAAGATATCTCAGCTCCTTTGTGCTTGTAACTACAGAGACTAGACTTCCCTTGGCTTGGGGAACTACCTAACATCTTGAGTAAAAAGTTATGTTAGGCAATGACTTATGCCTGAAAGCTTGTAGAACTGTCATCAGAGTAGACCAAAGGTAGGAGATCTGTGGTCCTTCAGACATTAGTTAACTCTTAGCCTCCCTCATCACTGGTGTACTGGTTGGGGTTGATGGAAATCAGATTCCAATAACACCAGAAAGTCCACAAATTGGATTATTTCCCCATTGTTTTATTTCAAAGGAAGCCACCTCATTAGAGTAAGAAACTATGTCTTCATCTAGTCGCTATTGTGCAAAACAGTGTAAAAGAATAAGGTTTATTAACTGAAACCAAACTTCATTTCCTGATATGTAACAGCAAAGATGACAATGTATAATTATAGTAGATCTGCATTCTGGCTAACCTTAAATTTGACTAGGGTGGTTATCTATTTTAGATGCCACATTGTATTTTTGTTTTCCTTAGGTTCAGATTGACAGCATAATTACAAAAGCTGGCAACATCATGCCATCCTATCAATATTCTTTCTCAAACCTTATACAACAAAAAATAATACTTAGAATTTATTGGACTCCACTACATCTGTATAGAAAAGGACTGTCAAAAACAGCAGTTTGTTGGAGATGTAATAAAGACAATGCTTCTTTAAAACATATGATTTTACAATGTCCTATACATTAAGTTTTGAGAGAAAGTACTGGACTATATAAATATGATTGTGCGACAAAAGCTACAATTTTCAGAGGATAATATTCTTTTGAACTACATACCTAGTACATGGAACTTGACAACTGGACAACATAAATGGGTGCTCTGTGCCCTTACTATGGCCAAAAGACTGATATTGCAACATTGGAAATATAAATGTATGGCCCCATTTAGTCAATGGACTGAAGACCTGATTACACTTGCTACTTATGAGCGGACTACCTATAGACGTAGACTTTGTATGGGCAAGTACAATGAAATATGGGACTCATTTATACAAAATACACTGGATTAAAAAAATAGGATAGTCATATAACTCTATTAGAAATATATGTGTACTTGAATAATATTTATATTAGATAAGCATATATAGAATTGGAACTGTGTACTATTATAATGATATATTTTTTGTTGTATTTTTTTCACTTTTATGTTAAAGCACTTCTATGTATTTTTTTCTTTTTTTGTAATTAAAAATAATAATAAAAATATTCTTTCTCAAACAACAGAAAGTTAACAGCTAACTGATTTACCTTAATGGTCGGTTGCAATGCAATCCTATAATATCTACTTAGATATAAATTCCAGTTTCTATTTATTGTAAATATTTTATTCCATTATTCAACTGCAGTTTCAGAGAAATCTGTAAGATGAAATAAAAGCATAAAAATGTGAGCCCTGAAATATAATTAAATGAAAGACCAGAAAATAATAAATGCAATAGAAAATATTGCAAGAATGAAACTACATGTGAAATCCTCAGGAAAATAGAAGTAATTTTGCTGCCACCAGAGGAAAACAATGTAGGTGCCAGGTGGCAGTTCCAAAGAAGTCCATTTTACCACTGGGACACTATGACCAAGAAACCTCCTGGCAGAACATTTCATCTCAGACAGAAGCTGAAAAAAGTACTTAAAGAGAGTTTTGGAACTGAGAATGAAGAAGGCTCTGTGGTTACTCTATAAATTGAGTCAAAGTCACTTTTGGGGGATCTGCTGTATCCTCAGATATAGGGGATCAGGTAATGTAAAAAGTGCTATGCTACTTGCTTCCACTATGTTCAACTTGTATATATGGAAAATAAATCCAAATATTACAAAAGATCATAACTTTCCAATGATCTCTCATTGCGAAGGAAGCCTGACCCTGTTACACAGTGTCCTTGGAACTTCTCAGTGTTTGAGAAAGTGAGGACAAACACCAATATATTATTATGGCAGGGCGGGAGCTGTTTCAGTGGATACAATACTCATATTTAGCACAGTGTTCAGGCATTGTCTAGAGTAGATGTAGGCATCGAAGGTTAAATGAACACAGTCCCTTATTATAACACTTTTGCCCATCTGGAAGAATCGATGAGCAGTCCTCAGATTTCTGTTATGTCATTAAGCTCTGAGCAAGAGAGTTTCTGCATTCCTGCCCATATAAAGAGAGATGCATACAGATGCATATATAGAGCATATATATAAATATGCACACATATACTTTGTATATATAATATACAGCATATAATATTATATACAGCATACACACACACACACACACAGAGTATATACATATACACATGCATACTCTGTGTGTGTATGTATGTATATGTGTGTGTGTGTGGGTGTATATACGCACACACACATACATACACACACATATCCTCTTATGGGTGGTATGGGTGGTATGTGTCTTCCTTAATCTCGGGTCCTCTCCCAGAGGCCTGGGAGTTTGAGGGTTCTGTT